TGCGTCTGTATGATGGATAAGAAACTTTTCGTTAGGGAACGGGAGATACCGCTCAGGACGCGTCGTAAATGTGGTGGCAGTGTGTTTGCAACGCAGGGAGAGTATGCAGCTTCTGCCTTTCAATAACGTTTAGCTCCCAGTAAAGGGGAAATTGCAGCTTCTGGGAGACACCGTGCATTATACGCGGGATCCTGAAAATATGAAATGTGAAAACGCTCCTACGTGCAACAACGGCGCAATTTTAAAACAAATGTCCAGTGAATTTTCAAGATCACAGGCTGTGCTCATCTCTGGTGAATTAAATACCCATCGGAAGCCTTCTGCAGAGGGTTTTTGACTAACCAAACAGGCGGCATATTAGGAATTAAATCCCCCCATGAACATGCTAATGAAGGACATGAATTTCCTGTCTCTGGGAGAATTACACAGAGAAATAATCCACGTTAACTTCATTTTGTGTAAACAAGATCGGGTGCAACTTTAGTGCTTTTCCTTTTGTTAAAAAAACAATTATTCCTAGCACCAGCCTTGTGAAGCTCCTCGCCCGGGCTCTGGTTGTGTTTGAATGGGAAGTGTTAGCCAAGTTGAACTTTTCCCTCTTCTGTCATGAACAGAAGGGCGCTGGAGCCGGACAGCGGCTGGCGATTGAGCCGACAGGGTGGGGAGTGTGAAATGTGCCCCTTTCCATAACTTGGGTGGCACACGCACTCCTAACAGCTGCTTTCACGTGGGGAACTGGTGTGTTGCCCTGCGCTCCTCGCGCAGCCCAGGCTTGGCTGGCGCAGGGAATGCAGCGCGGAACGAGATCTCCCTGCCTGTGCTGGCCGCAGGGGACACGACTAAGGGGGGTCGTGAGAGCGGCTAAACACGCCTAACACGGGTGTTCCTCTTCCAGCCACGTCTTCTCGCCCGCAGAGCGGGCGCTGCCAGGGACGCGTCCTGCGAGTTGAACCCCTGAGCTCTTAGTTGTGTGGCTCAGGGATCAAACAGTTCTGCGCCCGCCACCTAATCCCGTCCCTGGTTCCCGGCTTGTTAGTTTCTGGAGGGGGGAGCTGGTGAACCCCTCCCAGCAATGGGCCCCACCCTGGCTAGCTGAGCCACCCGAGGCTAGGATCGCTCTTTACCAGTTACCCGCTCAACATTGCCACACTTGCAGATATAAACTGGGGAAAGAAGCATTTCGCCCAGAGCCTGGCTCAGTCGGGCGCTAGATACATGGCATCGTTCATCACCCGGACTCCTTTACTCAGCTCAGAATCTGCTCTCGGGCAGCCTTTCTCTGGGCTGGGCGGGGGGGTGTTGTGTGTGTCTCGGGCAGCCTTTCTCCGGGTGTGTGAGTGTGTGTAGCCTGTGCGAAGCTGTGCGGAAAGACCGGGCCTAGCCCCGGCGTGTTTTGCACCAGAGCTGGCTGAGCTGCTGCGGTTCCCTGAACGTGCGGAGCCAGCTCGTCCCATTGCACGGGGCAAAGGACAGCCGGGCTCGTTCCCCGCCCGCGCCCTGCGGCTTCGCCCGGCTTTGCAGGAGAGTGCCGAGGAAAAAAGGCTGTTGGCCCCCTCTACTGTCCGCTCCGCATTGCTGCAGGGGGGAAGGCGGTGCAGCGCCACCGCCTTCCCCGGGGTTTATTTGCTGTTTGATTTTGCATTACGGGTTTGGCTTGGATTGCGCAATAAACCGTAGGCAGCTCAGAGACTCAAGGAACAAGCCTTCAGCTCGCTTCCTCTTTGCTGTTAAAGGCAGGGCTTGTCCCTCCTGTTACCACAGTACAGCTTTTAGCAATGGTTTTTATTAACCAACGTGCCTGCTCCCCCACTTCCCCTCAGTCATTGGGGGACCAGCTGTTGTTGCTTGCCCTCATCCCTGTTCGGAACTGCTGTCTAGCCTTGCACCATACCCCATATATCCCTGTGTGGGAGCAACTGCAGGGCCCTCCCTTGCAGCTGAGGCCAGGACTGGGGTGGAGGGTAAGGAAATAGCCCTTGATGTGACACAGAGAGAGAAGGGGTGGAAGGAGCAGCTTCAGGAAGGAAGGAGAGGACAACTTTGTGGCCTCTAGGCCCATGGGGCATCTCCTGGGAAGGATAAGGAGGCAGAGGCAGGGTGGTTATCTCAAAGGAGTGCTGGCTCTGGCATGGCCCAGAGATGTAATTTCATTAAATCATTAGCACAGTTTTAGGTCTCGGCTTGTTTAAATACCGCTGATGGCAAGGAGGGTATGGGCCAAACAGTGTCTGCCAAGTGGCTATGTTAGCTCATGTTGGCCTTGTCTATACTTGTCATTTTCCCCTCAAAATGTCACATCTTTGCTACCAATTCAGCTCCCCCAGCCCTATCAGCAGGAGGCGCACTAGTGTAGAAAAAGCACCAGCAGAAGCCAGCCTTGGTAACCCCTGTTTTATTTAGCTCACAAAGGTGTGAAATTTCAGGGGGGCAAGGCTAGCCAGGACATAGCCATGAGAGAGGCAGCCGGGGCTGGGCCCAGAGCTGCTCTACAGCACCCTCTGCCAGGAGTGATTCGTATTTGGCAAAGGGCAACTGCTTAAAAAAATCAGAAGAAAAACCAAACTAAACCCATGCCATCAATGTCCACAGTGAAATGCTACGAACAGAAATCCCACTACTTCCATTTTGACCAGGGGCAGTCTAACAGCATGGCTTACCTTCGTGTCCTGAAATAAGCAGGACTTGTAAAGGAAAATACCCTGGATGCAGGGTGGCCAGTGCTGTGCTCTCTGTTTGAAAATTGGAGAGCTGTGTTTTAGAAGTGACTGGATCACCTATCCCACCATAGTGGTGCAGAGAGAACTGTATTTTTTGGCTGGGTCTATGACTTAGCTGTGACTATGGCACTACCAGAGTGGTCATTCAGGGGCAGATCCTGAGAGGGAGAGGCAGAAGGGGACTATAATAGTAGTTTTGAGAGAAAGGGTAGAGGCCCCTAGCTGTTGCTAGACTGTGGGTGAGTCACTGGGCTCTCAGGGGTGAAAGGACAGTTGGAACAAACTCTGCTGTGGTAAAAAAAAAAGAAAGTGAATGCTTGTGCAAGCTGTAGTTTGCTGGGCCCACAATGTTACTCAAACCTCCTTTATCTTGGGACTGTGTAACAGCAGTAGGGCATGGTGGGAACACAGGTAGTGCCATTCAACCCTGAATTGCCATATCCCCTTGCTGGCTGAATATTTTGTGACTGAAATAGCATGATTTGTGCCTTTTTAAAAAGTGATTTGCAGGCATATCTATGGTGGCCATTTGCCAAAGACTGCAATTGTCCTGGCCTCCCCTGTGAAAGAGATTCTAGAGAGACAAGGTGGGTGAGGTAATAGCTTTTATTGGACCAGCTTCTGTTGTGCACATGTTAAAAGCTCAGGAATATGATGGACATTGAAATTGTATAAATCTGAAAGGACCCTAGAGGGAGGAAGGAAGAAGTGACAGATTAAAGTGGGGGAGGCAGGATAGCCTTGCAAAATTGTGTTTGTCCAGACTGTGTATTTTGGGGGGAGTGGGTGCAAATATCATTACACATTTCAATATAGTCAGTCATCGTGATAAAGTTCAAGTGATTATATTTGGTGCCTGGGAGAGTAATTTTTCAAGGCAAGGCTGATTATGTACAGTTAACCCTGCCCTAATCGACATCCCAGGAACCCACCAATCATCAGTTGCCTAGGAGAGGTGGCTTTTAAATGTAGTTCATACAAAACTACAGTGAAACCGGGGAGGGGAGGGGGCTTCTGAAGGGCTGGCTTAGGCTAGGGTTTGCTTGTCAGCTGCCATTCTTGGTGCTGGTGTCCTTTAGCATTAGCAAACCACAGGCAGGGAGCTGAGTGCATTATGCACAGGGCTGCTGCTGCCGCTGCCCCCGCAGTCGGTGTTTGCGGTGGGGTCTGAGGAGCACCAGCAGCCGCACATGGTCTCTGCCTCTGTGTGTGTTTTGTGGTGGCCGCGGCATCCCATTGACACTTGGGCTCTTTACAGTAGCTCCGGCGGCAGCGCCCGGGCCAATTCCAGGAGCCCCCGGACTGGAGCCGCGCCCTGGCTGATACCGGAAAGGGATCTGATTGGCCGGCGTCTTCCCCATATGCAAAAGAGCTGAGGGAATGACATTCCTCCGCACTCTTACTGTAAAAGCAAATTCATTTCCAGTCAATCTCCATTCATAGAGCCAGAAGGGCGCAAGGGAGGCGGGAGGACCAGGCTTTCCAGAGCAGCATGAGCAAACAAACAGCTCCTCACAGAAGGTCATAAAGCTGTGTAGCCTGTGTTCAGTAGGCAGCCATGAAGAAGCTTTCCCTGTGAACACGTGAAGACTCTCAAGATCTCTCAGCTTTGGAAATGGGCTTTTTTCAGAGCTGTCTTCTGGGCTGGATATTTTAACTTCTACCGAGTCTGTGAACTTTTGTCATTGTCCTGTGTGTATGTGTGTGAGTGCTACAGCTCCTCTCTCTTTTCGGAAGGGACGCTCGCGGTCCTTTGCAAGCAGACATTAGTTTTTGCTTGCCAGCTTTCAGTATCGATCTCGTTGAGGCGAAAAGAGGAAAAAAGCGTGTCTCCGAAAGCAGAGTTCCACCTGCTGTGGTTAAAATATTGTCAAGCAGCTGGCTGCTGTGGCCGAATTAGAGGAAGATTGTCTCAGAGATTGCAAAAAAAAAAAAAAAGTAGGCAGTGACTCACCAAACTGCTGCAGACTGTTGGTTGACTTCTGAAGAGTGTGTGTGTGAGAGAGAGCGCGCGAGAGCTGTTGCACACACCAAACCACAGGGAGAACCCACAATTTAACCAACATCCCCAAACCCACGTTTTCATGTGTGGACTTTTTAGCCTCAGAGCTTGAGATCGGCTGCGACCTTTCTAAGATTTAGGAGAGACTTTGTGCCAAAGGCATTTATATCTATATTGAATTCCATGCACTGAACATTTTTTTCAAAATTACTGACAGATCATGACACGAGTACTTCTAGAGCAACGCAAGTCAAACTACTTTAAAAACAAAAAACCCTGCAGAGACCATTAATGGATTTCTGTTGTGTTTAAATTCTCTGCAGATTATACTGTAAATATTTGATGAAGTACAGTATATGTGTGTGTCTGTGTATATATACATTGTTATAGTCAGCTGACCTTTGAAAATCCTAGCTCGCGCATTGTAGTCTTTGAAGCCTGAAGCCGATTTTCGCCATTTTAGAGAGCGGCTGTTGTCTATGGAAGATACTGATGTATTTTGTATTCTATTGGGACTTTAGAAAAATCACCTGGAAGAAACTGATAGGGAATTAACTCCTGGGAAGCCCCAGGTTTTGCTTGTGTGTCTGAACGTGTGTCTTGGCTTTCCCCTGCCTAAATATTTCCCCGGTGTGCGGGATTTTTGGAGGGAGCTTTGCCTCTAATAACTCTTGTACCAGCCAAAGACTAAATGTGCAGCCTTCACAGTACACCCCCGTGCGGAAGATTGTTTCGATTATTGGATTAACTCTTCTGTTTCGCAGGCCCAGGAAGCCAAAGAGTTAAAGCTCAGTTTATTCGCTGCCTCAAACTGTTCAGCAAAATTAACTTTGGGCCAGGCATAGAAACGACTCACCCCACCCCCGAGTGCTAAGCCTGTATCCGTTTATGTTGGTCTCCAGAGGGCTGATCGCTGAAGAGTTACACTCGTGTCGCTGCTTTGTAAGAACTCTTGGGAGATTTTTCACTCAACAGGCTTGTTGTGATGCGTATCCCCGTAGATACCAGCACCAGCCGCCGCTTCACGCCGCCCTCCACCACTCTGAGCCCGGGGAAGATGAGCGAGGCGCTCCCGCTGGCCGGCCAGGAGAACAGCGGCGCCCTGGTGGGGAAGCTGAGAACTGCAGACCGCAGCATGGTGGAGGTGCTAGCGGATCACCCCGGGGAGCTGGTCCGCACTGACAGCCCCAACTTCCTCTGCTCCGTGCTTCCGACGCACTGGAGGTGCAACAAGACGCTGCCGATTGCTTTCAAGGTATTTGGCCTTCATTAAACCGGGGGGGAGGGAGGGGGGGGATTGGGACAAGGTACAAACTCCTCTGGTGTGCACACGGTCAGACTAGAAACGCAGCGTGCATCTCATGTAACTCCTTCCCGGAGCGGGGGCTGTTAATCTGGAGTTTGGAGATGTGTTTTAGGCGTAGTCCCACATAAGGAGGCCGGAGTTGCTGTAGGGACCGGCTCTGGGTATCCTGATTCACTGTGTTGCCCTTTATGCAATGTGGTGCACGCCGGTGAGTATAGCGGGCCCTCCTATTTAACAGTATTAGTGTATTGATTTGCTAACATGAGTCACTGGGAGAAAGGAAGCGTGGGGGCAGGACACTAGCTTTGGAGACTCTCTCTCCAACCGGTCTGTCTCTTCATCTCATTCATAAACATACCATTAAGGAGTGGTTCTATAACAAGCAAAGAACAAGGAGCTGAGTGTGTCTCCCTACCTTGTGTAACAGGATGCAACACAATCAATCACAGGGTGGATACAAGTATCAATAGCCTAAAATGACCCTTTCTGGACGGTAGTGTGTTTTGTACATAGAAGTAACCCACGACAATGGGAACATGGCACTTCTAAAAATCGGAGTTTGGGGTACTTCTGGATGAATATGTTTGTAAGACCATAAAGTACTACAGGCCACAATGTTCAAAGTTCTGTGTAAAGTTTCGCACTTACACTGTGTTGAAGGCGCCTAAATAATGGAAACTAAGAGGTGCTAAGCCCCCATTTGTGTAGAGTGGCAGGTGTTCATCCCTTTTAAAAGTCAGCTCTTTTTTATTTTGGTACCCAGTTTAGGCAGCGGTTTATTCTGAGCACATAGTGAGTTGGAAAATAATTCGTTTGTTGTTAAATATATCAATGTTTTTCCCGATTATTTTTTAAATCCAGCCCACCTTTGGCAGCTCCATCTATGAAAGGTGCCGGCTTTTCTCCTGATGGAAGTCACTAAAACTTCAAAGGTTCGAAACACTCGCGTAAGGCCACTTATTTATGAATGCTGCAGTTCTTGCACAAAAAGGATGCATGATCTCGCGGTTTCATAGACCATCAACTTTCCACCGAGGGTGGTGGTTTAAAATGAACCGAGAAGAGAGAGAAGTTTAGAAGCTCTTTTTCCCTTTTGATTTTGTTCGTACTTGAAGTTGCTGTAGTACACTTACCCAGCCTGTCTGAAAACGTATGACCTTTTTCTTAAAACAAAAACAAAGAAACAAAAACCCACAAGTGTAAAACTTTAGCAGGACCCCATCTAAGAGATATGCTTGTTCTATATGCTGATATCGACCCCACTGAAGTTTTGTGTCTGCCTCCCTGGATAATCAGTACAATGTGTCTTTACAATCAAGAAGAGTAAAGAATGTAGATTACATTTAGAATATAATTGCTACAGCTTTTCTTGTCTACGTGCTCCGATTTCCTCTTATTTGGATTCAAATATTCAGTCCCCCTTACCCGCTTTTTTTAAAAAAAGACTTTGGCCTATAAATAATTTGTTTATAATGCTGAACTCCCTCCCATTGATTTATATGTTTCCAACCATGAAAAAAACAACAACACGTTTTTAATTGTCCCCAAGGATGAGCCCCTGTTACTCCCCTAAAGCCTTTAATGGCGTTAAATGGTTACATTTAAGATCGGGAGTAGGACAGAATCAGCCTGTTCCTTTCACACGGGACAGGGTTCTTTCCACCAAGTTCACCGCTGCCAAACCAGATCAGAGCAGTATCCATTTGATTACGTGGGGTAATCAGTTGAGCTCTTAAAGCCTTAATACGTATCAGAACAGGGCTTTTAGGATAAGCACAAGTGTTTATTTTGTCTCCCGAGGGTTTTGTTTAGGAAGAGAGGGGAGAGGTGGGAGAAAGGAAGATCAAGTCGGAATGATCAGTTCCGAAAACCAAGATCCCCCTTCACACGACACAAGTTGATGAATTTTTATACCATTAACCATACTAACCTGTACACAGCTGCAGGTGAGTAGCTGGGACACTATAACACTACAAGGCAAAGTTATTGCTTTAAAATAGACTGGGGAAAAAAACCTCTGGGTCCCTAAGGGAGCTAGAGAAGCGAAGTCTCGAAATCTGGCTGATACTTTTGAATTCACTTCTTCTATTTCAATGCGCTCTTTGTCGCAGACTGCAGAGCAGCTGGGGGCTGCCCAGCGTGGCGCGTTTGAAACCGTTTCCTCCTTCCCTGTATTGGAAGGCGAATGAGTCAATAATGTGATTAATACCCAACGCCTGCCCCGCTCCTTCTAAACGTAGACGGAGCACGCAGTGTTTCCACCCAGCCACCTTTTCTCCCCTAGCGCCTCCGAAATGTTGCTGTCTGGTCCCTACTGGAGCTGAGAGCTCAGCAGCTAAAAGGGCTCAGTTCCGCACTCCTGTTTCTGAGCGGATCGTTTGTAATGACATGTTTGAATGGAGAGCGAGCTTTTCTCAGCCAGGTGAATGGCCAGGCTAGGAGGAGGAGAAGGGAGGGTGGATTGATGGGGTTACCTGCCCTCAGCTTCTTTACTGTTAGGAACTCGCGCGTTATGTTTTAAATAACTACCCCCCTCCCCTCTACTTTTGCAAACGAAGTAGGGGAGTCAAACGCTCTAACCTGACAAGATTATTCATTTCTAGCATTAAACCACACACACATACAAGCAAAGGTACAGCGTTTCCTGGTGAACCTCTGAAATCCTATGGTATGAGTCCACCTGCTTTCTGACTAGGTCTGTAGCTCCGCTCCCCGCCCCCCTGCTCACCATCACCAAAACTCCCCGGCTAGTGGGAACTGCAGGGGAATGAGACCTGACGTATTTGACTAATTATAAAAACAAACGCAATCTAATTGTAAATATTACTGTGTGTTTTCCAAATCGTCCCTTTTGAAAGTATTCCGATCCATTTGAAAATAATCTATATCGTGCGAAAACTGGGTAACACATAATACCTAGTTGCACAGAGTTCGGTTCAAATCATCTATATACTGCTCAAATATAGGAGTGGGATTTTTAGGGAACTTGGTAATATTCATTGTACCAATAAAAACCAAGCGATTTCTACAGATTGATATGCTCTCTTTCCCCCTGTTCTTACACTCCACACAATAAAATAAAAAAATAATAATAATAATCACTTCTTGCATATAGTCTTTAGAATCAGAATTCCATTTTAAACCAAAAACATCCAGGATTTTCTTTCAAAATAAAGGAAAGTTAACAAGGAATTTAAATATTGTAAATTGCAATGATTGATGCAGTTTAATAACAAATTGTAATATAGGTTAATTATTCAATATACTGTTAGGAAATCATCTAAATCCTAATTTAAAAGGCCAATTTTGTTTGGTTGGTGGACCAAGACTGGGAGGTGTGCTGTGGCATGGGTTTGCTGATATTCTGCCCAGCTCTCTGAAGATATATTTTTAAAAGCTGAACAGTATAACAAAATACTAGATATCTCCAGTCAGCAAGTTCCTACTTATCTGTTTAGTCTGTTTTATAATGTAAATGTTTGTATTTCGTCAGTGCCTATCGTTTACGACTTTTCATTCCAGTTTTTCTTTTTTCTTGTGTGTATGCACACGTTTTTATACTATTTTTATAGTAGTTTCTTCAAATAGCTTATCATAGAAGTTGTCTTTGGTGAATTGTAAATATGGTGAATTTTAAACATATTCTTTTTCAATTTAAGGGCATTATCTCAGTAATTCATGAAGGTTTGTTCTCCACTTAATATACGCATGCAAAATTCCTTAAATAATCACACAAATACTCATGTAAAACAGGGTTTTCCTAGATGTTCTTCCTTATACCTGAAGTCTTTAATACATGTAGAATAATTATTTTATTACAGGCTTTTTAAAAAATAACTTGATAAGCACATCAGGTTCATGATTGTGGATTTTGAGAGCCAAATTGCCACATCACACAACAGTCTGGAGAGAGAAAACATTGCATGCCAAGAACAGGAGGATTTGAAATACATAGTGCTGATAATACAGCATTTTTGCTGTGTACAGATGAAATCAAAAAACAAAAGCATGGGCTGTTGAGGAGGGCTGGGGAAGAGGAAGTAGAAATATATGCACAAAGAGGGAATTTCGACACAATGAGCACAACTCTATATGTGGAATCAAGAATAAGGGTTTAGAACACATCGGAGAACATTAAGGTGCAGAGTGTAGCCTATGTAAGAGAAGGAGAGATCAGAGACTTTTGAAATGTTATGGGAATTATTATGAGTAAGAAATAAGTATAATAAAAGGAATAGGTAAAGGAGCTGTGGACCTGTTTAGAAATATCAGTGTGATGTGAGAGAAACACACAAACTGGGTTGTGAAAAGTAATGAGACATTTTAACTACATGAACATGAACTAGAAAATGCTAAGAGGAAGGGGAAAAAATCAAGCAGTACCTCTGAGGACACGAAGCAGGACTGCTTACTTCCTCTTAAAATCTATAAAAGAGGAAACTAAAAAGGGCTAGATTTTATTATAATCATTTTATTTTATTTTATTATTTCACTGGTGTAAAACTGGTCTAAGCGCAGTCAGAACAGTGTCTTGTACAAGAGTTTAAGATGAAATTAAATACTAAAATGGTTGATGAAATGAGAACTGTGACACAGTTGAGAGAAATCAGAAAAGTTGAGGCTAGAAATCTAAATATCATGTAGCACATTGTATCAGAAATGTAGCATCATGTATGTTCCTAAATATTAGGTGATATTTTGTAGATATTGGCACTGCTGAAACACAATGGAAACATTAGTGACAGAACTTAAGCCTTCGATTTAAATGTTTTGGGTTTTATCAGTTCACATTACAATTTTAACAAAGGTTTGGGACAGTTCTAATTTCATTAACTTGCTTTCTTGTTTCTAAAAGGAAAAAAGAAATGGTTTTGTGAACAGTGATCAAATGTATATTTTGGGTCTGATTTCCCACAGTTTTGCACTGGTGTATGGGCATTGAAATCAATGAAATTACATGACACAAAACTGGATTGACACTGTGGGGAATCAATTCTGTTATGTCCAAGAGACAATAGGCCTGGTTTTGCTCTTGTACTAATTTTATACCAGTGTAACTCTATTGACTTTGATGGAGTTATTCCCGACGTACTCTGATGCAATTGAGATCAGAATCGGGCCCTGTTGTTTTGATTTATTTATGTATTGGTAAATATAAATGTATGCATGTTATGTGTATTGTACATATTTATGTGCATTTAGGCAGTTTAGACATGTTTAGTTACAAATATTTTTATCTGGCTCTGTAAGCTACATTTGGAAATATATCCTATTTTCTCCAAGTAGCTTTTTAGTTTATATAATTTGTTGCTTTTCCCCTTTTCATCAGGTTATTTACTGATACATTTCACTTACGAAGACTGAGGATTCTTCTATTTAATCTTTCAGGTAGTGGCCTTAGGCGATGTCCCTGATGGGACACTGGTCACAGTAATGGCTGGAAATGATGAAAACTACTCTGCAGAGCTCAGAAATGCTACAGCTGCCATGAAAAACCAAGCAGCAAGGTTCAATGACCTCAGATTTGTGGGTAGAAGTGGAAGAGGTACGTATTTGCTCACAGCTATATTTTGACTATGTTTACTACTTGAATCAAGTTTCAATTACTTAGGGACAATTTGAACACAAAATATGTCCAGCTTCGGCACTGGAGAATTCTGCAAGATCTGGCTTGTGCAGACTCTCACAGTACAGAAACTGAGCACACATTTGTATTGTTTTACACAAGCCAATCCTCATTATGATTGACACTTCCTAACAGTGTTCTTATTTAAAAGCATATCCAAAAGACAATCCTGATTGTGCCCTTAGTTACACGGTGCAAGCTCATTAGCTTTACTGAAATCAAGGTGATTTCATTGGTGTAACTAAGGGCTGAACATAGCCCTTACTTCGGATTATATTAATTTGTGAACAGAGCCACAGCTTCAGCTGATGTAAATCGACATGACTTTGTTGTCCAAAGCAATGGCTGATAACTCCACTCCTAAGGGACAATGAAACTTTCTATGGTAAAGATAAAGCTTGTCTGTGCAGGAGTCAATGTTCTGGGGGTGCGTGAGGGGGTGCAGGGTCTTTCCCTCCAGGCTGTCGAATGAGCTCGCTCAGGAGCTCAGGATCATTCCAGACCTCCCCATCTTCTGCTCCAAGTACAACGTGCGCTTCCTTGACCTTGCTTTCTCTAACTTTAACCATATAGCAACATGTGTGTGTATATGTATATATGTATGTGGGGGGAGGGGGTATCTATATAGGTTTTATTTTTTTATATTTTACATATAAATTCCACCACAAAACACTCCACTGCACACACTTCTCCCCCTGGGGAGAGGAGGAGAGAACAAACACATGGCAGATGTTAGTCACATTGCTTAATGTAGGGCACTGAGATGAGCATAGTATAAGAACCTGAATAGACTAGAATGGAAGACTCCACTGGCTGAGGATCTGGTCCTCTGTATCTCTTTGGTGACTTTTAATTCCAAGTAAGAATAAAAAGGTGTCATTGCTATTTGTAACAACTGAGATTTGAAATTGATATAGAATATAATTCCACCCCAAAAGATGCTAAAATCCATAAATTATAGTATTAGCACACACACAGTTAATTCATTAACACATGAACAGATGATATGGGGCCTGATTCAATGGGAAAGACTCCCACTGACTTCAGTGGGCTTTAGTTCAAGCCCATAATCATAGAAAACCCAAATTGTAAACAGCCATGTTTATATAACAAGATAATTTTATGAACTCATCTTACGCTGTTCTCCTAACTCATGTAATTAGTCCCATGAACTGTTCATGTGAATAGGGTCTGTTTGCCTGAGTAAGGATTGCTGGATCAGGCCCATAGCAGAAAAGCTGATGAAAATTTGAAAATACAGCCTTCCAGTTTTAGGGTAAGGCACTAAAAGTACTTCCTATTCAGTATGCTTTCATAAAGTGCTTACAAATATATTGTTCTTCTGTTAAGTTCTTATCTTAAAGTGAAGTCAAAACATAAGATTTGGCTGACTACATACAATATTGTCAGTTAAGGTTAGTTCAGTGTTGTAAAATTTATAAACCAAAACTGACATTATCTGATGCATTCAAGTAGGTTAGTTTTACCAGTTGTTTTGAGTTCTGTTGTCTCTTTGGAACCAGACAGAGCCCTTTATGGCTTATTGTTCTTCCCCACCCCCATTTTTATTCGTCTGTGTACTCTCTGAGTGACCTAGTCTCCTCTTGATGTGTGTGTGAATAACTCCTATAAACATGAACGGTGTTATAAGCATACTTCAGGAGGATTGCATAGCTGGCCCATTCCTGTTCCTTGCAAAGCTTCATATTACAATGGGAGTGAGATCAGTCTTTTGACTGAAGAAGTTACGCTGATTATAGACAGCAGAATTTATTTGCTTTTGAAATGAAACTCGTATTTTGTAGATTTTTTTCTAATATAAAATCCATGTACAATTTGAGAAAACCATACCCCTTACAGATTTAAAGATGAGACATAAATTCAGAAAGCAAATACATTTTATGTGTAAAATATCCAACCAGGCCTGAAATGTCCTGTAGCTTCATTAGCCTGATATCATTCAAACCTGGTTGTTTGGGTTAGCTTCAGAATCCAATTGGCGGGGGGGGGGGAGACTGCAGTTGAAAATGTAGCTTAGTAATGCTAAGGAAGGATAATAATAGGGTAATGCAGGGATAATTATATCCATTTACTGAAAACATAAGAGATGCTGTAATGTATAAAAGTATCAGTCATTAAACATGTTCATTTGTTATATTAAAGGTTCCACCTTTTCAGTAAATGGTATTTGCATTATGATTCAGAGATGAGTGTTTAGAAAACATTTTGAAGATTCAAATGAATAGCTGGCAAAGTGGTTGAGAAGCTAATAAAAATAGACTTGCAGTTTGGTTCCTGGCCATGCTAATGAAGCTAGAAATCACAACTGTGGTCTGTATGATTTTTCAAGGTCAAAATTTGATAGCTGAGAGAGAACCCTAATTGTCCAAAAGAAAAACCTTGTAGGGAAGATTTTTGTAACCATTTACTTTGCTAATACCTTTTGGTTGCTAATAACAACAATCATTTATATACAATTAGAAGTTTTATTTAAAAAAATACTGTGCTTGCTGTGATATCTTAGATTAAAAAAAGGTTATATGGGGACCTTGAATGCTACTAATCAGTCTTGGAGGTTTAATCTCATAAACTCCATTAGCTATCCAAATTTTGAGTGAATGACTAATATATGTTTTTGTTTACTCATATAACACTGAACTGTTTTCCAAAGGTGTGGCTTGTTTGCATTTGGGTGCATGGTTTCTGATGTTATGTTCTGTTGCGTTTGCATAAAGCCTAAATAATAAGGTAGCTGCTGCATCAAAGTGCATTGCTTCTTTTGATTCTTTAGTATAGGAAAATCAAGTAAAACTCTGTTTGCTGTGTAATATTTGAGCTTGGGTAAATTCAGCTCCCAACAGTGGTAATGTGATGCCAATTATACATGAACAACCATTGGAAGTTTGAGTCAGTTATGGTCATTGTGGATACCATTTGTGTGGTTTGAATTACTTGAAATCACTACTCTGATGTAACAAAGAAGGGCTCTACACTGTGACAATTCAAGTTCATGCCTCACTTTCTCTTATGATGTGTCAGTTATCACTGGAGGTTTAAACATCACTGTTAAAAACCTCACAGAAATGTTGACAATCCACTTCTCATTTTCAGAGGATAGAAAATAATCATTCTCACTAATTTTAACAATTACCCTTAATTCTGACCCTCGGCGGTGCTGTAAAAGGAATGTGAGACATTAACTGTAAATATAGGTAACTATAGCTATTGTTTCATGTGTCCTTGTTCAAGACAATAGGTCAGATTCTCACCTATGTAAATTGGCGATGCTCCATTGACTTTAATAGAATTACACTAGTTTACACCACTTGAGGATCTGGGCCTGTGTGCACTTTGATGCACAAGTGTGTGCCAAATAGTGGCTGAAAGATAATCAAATAACTGAGCTATATTTCGATGTTCATTTTACATTTAATAGTGAAGCAACAGGCCTGTATTGCTATTGCTGGGCATGCAGTGTGATGTTCATTATTTAAAAAAAAACACTTGATTTTCTCGATACCAACACAGGAAAGTGAGGGTATCACAGATCTTCAGAAACACCAGGATGTTGTATTTAGGAGACTTGGCTTGCCCTCCAGTACAAAGCAGATTTGCATTGGAATTGGCTGATGTCCAGGATTACTATTCCTCACCCTCAGTTCAGAATGCCACTGGGAAAACCTGCCTGTCTGGCTTGTAGGCCTTAGTAAGTAATTTCTAAAAGAACAATGTAGTTTAAGGCTTAAGAAACTTTAAGCTTCTCTGCCTGACAAGCTGGTAAACATCTTCCTTTATTTTTTTCTCCCAAATTTTCCCTTCATTCATTCATTTTTCAAATGTAATTATTCTGTACCAATGCAAAGTATGTAGCTATCTTAATATAGCTTATTATGATGAAATAAAGCTAACACGAAAAGCCAAATACCACACAGGAAGTTCACTGGCTAAAATTAAAAAGAAATAGTTATTTTAGAGAGGGAAAGTTTCAGGGTCTGGTGGACACTACATTGATTCCACATGGAATCATTTATCCAAATAACTGTCTGCTTTGTAGGTGGCAACATTTTTTTTCATGTTTTCTGGGTGAAAACTACTTTGAATGGGTTAATATATTAGTAATTGATGTGAATGTATCTTGGTTTACCTGCAGAAGCTGTCAATCTTACCTTTAAACATTTTTCTGGAGTTTAATGATTATTATAACTAGTTTTATTGCAAGATCTTTTTACATTTTTTTTAAAGAAATAAAAATGAAATTTGAAAATTCAGCAACTGGCAGGGTCAGAACCACATGAATAATTTGGCAGATAAGAATATGCCATTTTTCATTTCTATGAAACATAAGAAAACGTAAGTCTGTGCCACTGGTTTTCACTTCACTAGCCTATATGAGAACACTTGGAGGATATTACAAGACATAATCAGAGATATTCATTTTAGGTCTCTTTCTTCAAGACATAAATTTGAGGAAGAAAGCTCAGTTTAAACTGGAATGTAGATGACAGAAATGTGCTAACAAGTTACTGGGCCAGATTCTGAGTTCATTTGGTTTTTACTTGCCTTCTAATGGCAGAATTTGACTCATTCTGTGTAGCTTTGTTTTCTGACATATTATTTAAGGGCATTTTTGTTAAACTTTGCTTTTACTAAAAGTTAAACGCATTTAAAATTATTATAGTATTCAGAGTGCAGACTGGAACTCAACAGAGTATAAAAAGCAGTAAAACTTGTCTTAAGCAATTACCTGGGGCCTGATCCAAACTCGTTGGCATTAATGGAAAGACTCCCATTGACTTCAGTTGGTTTTGTATCAGACCCTTGGATAACAATTAATTGGGATTTTAAAATAAAATACTGTGGGGAGGGGAGTCTCTTGAAACAGGAGGTTGCCTGAAAAGGATGGCCTCTTATATAGATTT